GGTCTGGTAAGGATTCATCCAAGTGACAAATGTCAAAACAAGGATCTGAATCTTCTTCATTGTAATCTGTCCAGACAGTGTCTCTGAAGTGCCTGAACCTGGCATCCCTACCCCGGCTGTTCCCAGCGCCATTTCTAAGACTTTTTCTTCCTGTTCTGTTTCTTCGGGGATCTCTCTCCACAGTTTGCTTCTCTCTCTGGAACACTCAGAGAAGTTGAGTAAATGCTATAATCTGCCTGTGCCCTCCAGGTGGCATCACACTGAGAAAAACACCCCGAGTACTCTTGACACTCCCATGGAGATGAGTAATTAGAATCCAAGTCACGCAGTGCACCTGCCTGCCTGGCTCTACCTCCAACGCTCCTCTGGTGTCACATCTCACTTAACAAAGTTTTCCATTCACATCCTTGCATCAGGTACTCATCCCCAGTATATAGGCAGAGAAGATGTGATTATCCCTCTAACAGGGAAAACTGAGGCACTAGGATCAAGCCATTAAAGAAGGGTGAAGATTGGATCACATCTTAGGTACTAAATAAATATCTGCAAATTGCATTCCCGGGCTCCCATTTTCTGGGGCCCCTCCTGATGTTTCTGTATTATGCACAGTGACCATTTGCCAAGCTCCGAATTGACTAGTTCAAAACTGCTTTTAGAAAGGGCATCAGAGCAAATTTTTCTACATATAAGGCAGAGCTGTGTGCAAATGCAATTCTGGTTATTTTGAGCTATTTTACAGTGATTTGAGCTCTAGAAAAGAATTATAAAACAGGTTACAAATCCAATTCTGAAACCTTTAACCCAATAGAGTTGGTAACCCAAGCAACCCTCTCCTTTCCACCTGGGCGGATATCCCTCTGGGCTTAGCTGCTAAGAAATTGTCATTAAGCAGTCCCAATAGAGATCCTGAGCCCTTTCTTAGTCCTTCAAGCTAAGCTGCCTATTTTCAAATATATAGCCTGAGCCCTCTCCACCATACCTCCTCTGCTCTATTTATTCTAGTTTGCAGTTTACCCACCTCTTAAAGTACCCCCAGCCCTTCCCTTTGAATCATCTCATCCTACCTCCTGCTCCCACAAGGTTCAGCTCAACCCAACCCTCTGAGTTCTCAAGCTCCTAGGCAACCATAGTTATACACTCCTGTCCATCTCCCAGCAGGCTCCAATCTTTTTCTCCCACTCGGATGGCTAGGAACTACTTTTTTAACCTCAGACTTTTGCTACCCACAAGAACAATGATTCAATTTCTTCTTCTACTTTTACAGTTGTCATTTCCAAAATGTCTTAAGTGTTTTCTTTTGGCTACCACCTCTTCTCAACCCACCATCATCTATTGCCATTACCTCCTCAACTCTCTTTAAGAGTTTTTAAAAGGCACTTATTGAATAGTCGGTTTTAGGTGAATGTGTTACCTCTGTTTTCCAGTGAGTTCTGTTTATTGTCTGCCCATCATAGTTGCTCTCCCCACACAAGTGTGAGGATATCTGGTTTTCAAGCTCATCTTCCACCAGAGGTTTCACCTCAGAACATTCTGGGCATAATCCATTTGGGTCCAGTGGGGCTCCCAGCCAGGCCTGTGTTGGCCACCGGTTTGACCCAATCTTAGATAAGTGGTCTGGTTTTGAGTTCTGTCCTCATTGGTGTGGGCTCTGGGTCTTGGTGTCCCTGGGTGGCACTGTCATCTCCTAGACCCAGATAAGCTGCACAAAACCACCTCCAACCTTAAAAAGAACTTCTCAGAGTTTGGTTCTTCAATGAGAATCATGACCCGGCACCAAGTCTCATGAGGGTGGTCTTGACCTTACTACATGCATAAAGCATTGGCCCAATTGCTCATTATGGGTTTCCATGTTTTTCCTTAATTTGGGGGAGTTTAAGAAGTCCTCCTATTGTTCTTGTGAGATGTCTCTTATACATATACATATATACATATATATATATATATATATATATATATATATATATATATATATATATATATATATATATATATATATATATATATTTTATTGCCTTTTCTTCCTACTCTCTCCTGTGTTTGGTGTGGGAAAATGAGGTATGCTTATGGTCAACTTGCCATGTTGAACAGAGTTCAAGTTCAAATTCTTTTCTAGTCTAGTCCAGGCAGGTCCCTAAGAAACAGCATTTTACTGTGGACCCTGCAGACAAAGTTCTGGTCACATTCATGCACCCAAGAGACCACTCTTTCACACAGCTTTGTTGAAAAGCCCCCTGAGTTATTCCCAATTCCAGCCTCTATCCTTCCTTTAATTACAACTCCACATCTCCTACTAAGGGATTTTTTCAGCTTAAAAACCTGTTAACAAGTGAAAGCGTCACTATCCTGTTCCTGGAAGTCAGTCTTTCATTGACTTTGAAACACTAAAAAGTACTTAAGAGCTCACATTTTTATTTTATCACATCTGGGATTGTCCCTTACACTCAGGACGTTCTTGTTACACCACGGGCGTTTCAATTACGTGGCTCTCCTCTAGGATGGAGTGTAATATTTTTTTGCAGAGTCAGACATTTAAGTGAATTTTATTGTCAGGTTTTCTTTGTAGTCTTTTTAAAGCCAGCCCCTGTTTCTTAAGCTACCTGGGAGGGTAACTTTTCCACTGATGACACAGCTGTATCTTTTTACAGTGTTCCACACCATACGGCTTAAGTGCCTGGACATCGTTATTTTAAAGTAGAGAAAATTTTTTTTCTTGGTGTGTGATTTTCTGCGTCCTTTTACATGGAGTTTAAGGTGTCCATATATTTTACAATGAGAAATAAAACAGGTGGCTTAAGGTGCTTGGTAATTTAAAACAATATGCATTTTTATAATAGGAATTCTATGTTTATAATCTTTACTTTTCTCAATTACAAGAGTAAGTCATGTCCATTATAGAATATCCACTAAATACATTATAAAAATTAGGAAATAAAAATTGTTCCTAACCTGGAGACTTCTAATCACTATTAATATTTTGAGATATTTCCTTCTTGGCTCTTTTTCATGCTCAACGGTATAGATCTATGTTCCGTATTTGGAGTCTGATAATATATAGTTTTATAGCCCACCATCTTCACAGAGTGTCTCATAATTTTGAAGCCAAACCCAGGTGTTTATTGCTATCTGGGCTCCTTTGCTGACCCCTTCCTCCTTTACAAGATGTGAAGCTATGAGCTTTCATGGAATCCATAACAAGAGGAGTTAGGATAGAAATACTTGGCTGGGGCGTCATGCAGTACCCCTAATAGCACCACTGGTTTTCTAAAGTTGTTTTCCCTTTTCAGAGTACTCTCTGGACCTCTGTTTTCTGCTCCATGGGATGAAGAGCTGGAGAAAGAGGCAGAATCCCACTGGTCCAGCTCCCCTTGGCAGACCCTGGCATTGGTACTACACCCTCCTCATGAACATGATGCTCAGCTCCCCACCTCCACAGCCCTTGCTCCCTACCTTCCCTGCTGCCCACCTAGATCCTGGAGCTGGGGAAGAGAAGGGAACTCTCCCAAAGCTTCCAAGGCTTTAATTAAATATAACACTGGCCAAGCATCAGTACACATTCAAACTTTTATTCCAAATACTGCTGAAGTTCCACATTAATCAGGAAGCCACATCTTCCCTTAATGAATAGAATTACTCAGCAGATCATTAAAACCAGTTAAGACCTCAGCTGTCAGATTTTTCCCCCTAATGCAAAATCCCACATGAGTCACCTTCTATATTAGAAATTAATGAATTTATTAGTATTTAATTGGTTATGTGATTTTAAGAAAAGGGTACCTTTCGGCTTTATTGAAAAATTTCTGATGATTCCCTGGCAAACAGAAAGATTCTACACCAAATTAGTCATATTGGTTCATATTCTTATTTGATTTATTTATTTTTTCACATGCTTTGAAGCACAGCAGATATGATGGCTCTGGAATGAGCACTAAATTTCACCTCCCTCACCACTGTGTTGACAGGAGCTACTCAAGTGGTCTCTGATTTGTGAGGCTGACCAGGCTTGCTGTCCACTGCCTGTCAGGAGTTTGGATTTCCAAGACTGTCCCTATCCTTCCAATATCATGAACTTTGTCTTATTCCCAGTCTTGAAATAAATGGTTTGAGTGTGTGTGTGTGAGTGTGTGAGTGTGTGAGTGTGCATGTGTGTGAGAGTGTGTGTGTGTGTGTGTGTGTGTGTGTGTGTGTGTTTATATGTATGTGAGTGTTTTCATTGCTAAGAGATGTAGATCTTGACTGGCACATAGTTACCCAAACTAAAGACCCAAAGGTTGAGACTGGAATGTTCTCTCTGGAGAGGAATTCAGTACCTGTCAAGGCTCCTTCAGACCCCACCCAAGGAGCAATGATGAAAAACCTCATAGAACACTTTATGAGGTCTGACCTTATTCAAGACATAGCAGCCAGCATGGAATCCACAGTCACCAGAGGGTCCCTCGTGCTATTGGTGCTCTTTATTAGGAGACAGGACCTACCCTAGTTCTGCTGGGGAATTCTCAAATGGCCAGAGCCCTTTTGGCCATGTAACGCTCTTCCCCGAGTCTCTCTTCTCATAAACTGCTTTGTCTACAGACAGTCCCTGTCTGTTAGAGTTTCCCATTGGATATTATGATCAAGTCATCAATCCTCCCCTTGATTCCAGGCCCCCAGAATATGGCCCTGCTCATTTCTTTACATATCCCTATTGCCCCTCTTGCCTCCCAGAATTCAGACATATGCTCCCTCTACCTGGAACCCTTTTAGGCTAAATAGAGATGGTTTGGGGGCTAGGGTAGTAGCTCAGTGGCAAAGCACTTGCCTAGCATGTGTGAGGCACTGGGTTCAATTCTCAGCACCATACATACATAAATAAAAATAAAGTTCTATCAATAACTAAAAATTTTTTTTATAAAGATGGTTTGGG